AGAAATGGCTTAACCTATAGGACTAGAAGCTTCCAGCTTTCTTTAACCAAATTACAACGTGTACTCCTGCCCCCGTACCAGGACAGGGCTTTACTAGGGTTTAACCTCTCGTCCTCTCCCTTCCAAGTTCCATCTCCGTAATCAATCCCATTACCGAGAAAAATTCCAATTTTTTCCCTCTCCTCTGCCAATAATCATTCAGTTCAATTAACCAACTACTGCCCAGGAAAAGCGCTTAATTCACGGGAACCGGTGAATCCGAGGGGAAAGAAAACGACATAATGGTTCGTTCTCGTGGCGTTTACCTCGTGGGTTCTGCCCTTGCTCGCCGCTCTTCTTCATTGCTTTCTCAACAATCTGCTCCTCATTATGTAAGACAAAGGGAAACTCTTTTCTTTATTTCTCTGCTCTCTGCTCTCTTCTCTGTTTTCTGTTGTTGGGCAATTGGGAGATCGATTTTTGCTGGGATATAGGCTCACATTCTTTTGGGACATATAATTCTTCACTTGCTTAATTCTCAGGTCTGTAGAAGTTTGCTCAATTGGAGCTATAGTAGAGGATTAACAACTACAACTCGAGGTTGGAATCAAGCTGGGGCCACCACCAATTCCTTTCTCCCAAACAACAAAAACGGTAAGACCTGCTCTCTGTTTTTTCTGCAAGAATGGTGAATATGAAGCTGTGAACTATATATTACCTCTGTGGTATTGGTAGGAAGAGAAAGATTTGGACCAAATTGGTATTACTCCATTTACTGATAACCGTATTCCACATGTGTACAGTTAATTATAAACTTCGGTTGTCTTTTGGAGCTTTAAAGCCAAATGGCTTAAGATCAATTCATGGCACAGGTACATCTCTTTTCACAGAATGCTGATCAATCTTTTACCTGCCTTTATTCTCTTCTCTTAGGCTAACCACAGCTCGGGATAAAAACAGGGGAAATATAGCCTTTTAGCCTCCTCTTAACTGAATCAGTTGCAACTATGGTTTTATAATTGTTGGTTTGATATTTAATAAATCATATTTTGGACTTTGAGTTTTTTATATTTGTTCACAACAACTCGATACGAACATTCCGATAAAACTTAATCAATTTAGATGATACTTTTTTTATTGTTGAAATCAATTAGTTAATCACTTTGATTGTTGTTCACATCTTAATTGGTCAATTATTGGTATTGAAGTTTAGTAACATCATTCATCTATTATCTAGGTGATTTAGTGATCTATCATTTCATTTTATATAAAAGTGTTCACGAGTATAGTCGATTATTAGTACTTGAAATAACTCATACACTCATAATATATAAATGATTCAGTGATTCACTTCATCTTTATACAAAATTGTCCATAAGTATAGTCAATTATTAGTACTTGAAACAACTTACATCACTCATTTACTATCTAACTCATTTCTCTATAAAATATAACTTCTTAAGTGGAAAACAATTCGACCCACTCTTCTCTTCTCACAATTTATTTCAACAAATCATCATAAATTCATCTCAATTTTCATTGTCGGATGAGCAAGAGCATGCAGAGCTTAAATGTTTGACCACACACTCAAACTAGAACTTGAGAAAATGGAGGATGAGGAACGTGAACCACTTCCTCAACAAGTTGGGAGTCGAGGCTTCACTAGACATCATAGACAAGTTTCCCATTAAGAGTGTTTATGTTTGAGTGTGTTTAAATGCATTTTATTATGTTTAGGTGAGATTCATTGATAAAAATTAAGAGGGTTTCACTGATAAAATCTATTATGCTTTAAATATAATTTTTTTTTATCTTCAAACAACAAATCAAACGGACGAAAGTTACACCGAAATGGATTTCGCTTCTGAAAAACTCACAAAACAAACTCTTTACATTAATTACTTAAACAAAAAAAGAAGTAAAAGCAGCAGTAGATGGCCCCGGGTGGCGCGCTGCAAGCATGCAAGGCTGGCCAGGGCATCGAACCTCCTGGGTGTGTCTACCTCTGCGTTATGACCGTGGCTCCCTTTTTGAGAATGGCCGTCTCCACACCCATATGCCCTCTGGTTTTCGCACCACCCAAACCAACCTATTTTGCCCCTTAAACCCGTATTAAGCCTTTTAGGCATTAGTTTGCCCCATGGTTGAAGAGGTTTTGCTAAGGGTAAAGGTATTTTGCCCGTTTACCTTTGGGCTGTGGCCAGTCTTATACCATTAATCTAATCTAAGTCGTATTTCTCCTTTCAGCTTTCAGCTCAAAAGATTACTACGATGTACTTGGTTCAGTAAGAATGCGACTCAATCCGACATTAAGAAATCGTACTATCAGGTAAGTTGGTGTCTCTTGTTTAATCCCATTTTTACTTAACTTGATCTGCAATTGTTCCTGTATATTCGCGATCTCTTTTAATATCTTTACACTTGTGCTGCCTATTATTTGTAGCTAGCAAAGAAATTCCATCCAGATAGTAACAAAGATTCCTGAAGCTCACAAAAAGTTCCAAGAAGTTTCTAAGGCTTATGAGGTGCTTTTCATTTTTATGTTTCAGCTTCCCCTTTATCTCTACTATATGCTCGTTGTAATTGTTGTAATGGTTGTTACATTTATGATTGTCTCTGTGTTTCAGGTTTTAAAAGATGAAGAAAAGCGCTCCCTATACGATCAGGTTTCACTTCTCTTTTGAAATCTCTCAACACTTGTAGATAGTATCTTTTGTAGCTGATGTAGTTTTTGGAGCATAATTTCATAACAGCAACTTGATGCCATGTGCATTCCCTTTTGGTTTCTTCTCTTTCAAACACATCCACATCCACTCATATTCACAGCGTGAATATTCGAGGACCAGTGGCTCGATAGTTTGTATATGTCCGTCAGTTAAGCCTTCGATATGATATTGCATTGACTGTTTGCTGGATATTGTTGTACAATGTAGTGTCTTAATATTGTATCTTATTCCTGGTTTTGAATTTTGGTGATTTTTTTCTGATATTGGTGGTATGGTCATCTTTTAGGTTGGACATGAGGCCTTCGAACATCAAGGTGACAATGGTTTCCAACCTGGTGGTGGGGCGGGATTTGAACATCCATTTGGGGACTTCTTCAGAATGGACGATGTAATGACTTGCTCTTGAGCTTCTTTCTTTCTACTATCCGTTAATTCGTACTGCTTCGGCTGAATTCTTTTTCATTTTCCTTGTTGAGTTATGCCTCTCAATAACAAAAGGCTTCCTTTCCATGGAGTTCCATCTTGAGATGATTCTAACTCATTGAAACTTTTTATGAATGGTTCTACAGTTATGATGTTGCTATAACTTACAACTCTAATGATCAGTCAATGCTAGTGTAGAATCCTTTGGTATTTGAAATCAGGACACCCATGTTGTCTATCAAAAGTTTCTAGGAACTTGAAGAATTCCATTATAGAACTTGTATAATGTTTATCTGTTCCTATTAATGTCCATAATGGTATGCGTCCTGATTTTGATGCTAGATATTCGGCAACATGTTTAATCAGCAACGGCTTGGTGGCGAAGATGTCAAGGTTTCCTTCTTGCCCAGTGTTTCTTAGTTTTCTGCTGTAGTATTGATGCTAATATGTCTTATTTTCCTTTAAAAAATCTTCGGTTTTTCTAGGTTGCTCTTGAGCTATCCTTCATGGAAGCTGTTCAGGGATGCACAAAAATATCACATTTCAAACTGACTTCCTTGTGAAACATGCCGTATGCACAATTTCTCTGCTGGCTTCCACCATTTCAACTTACTGTACTTGACATCTTTTCTCAAACTTGCTTAGTTGGAATTTTGGATGCATCCATTTTCAGGTGGTGAAGGTGTACCTCCTGGTGTAAAACCTCAAATCTGCAAACGCTGTAAAGGATCCGGCACGGTTAGTATTCTAAAGTGTAACTTCACTGGGACCAGGGTTTTCTGCCAGGTGTTCTTGACAAGATGTTAGACTATGCAGGTGTTTACACAAAAAGGGTTTTTCAGTGTTCAGCACACCTGCAATCAATGTGGGGCGCAGGTCAACTGTATCGGTATGGTGGAAACTCAATTGGATTTTCACTTTTCAACTTTATGTTATTGTTACCTGTCTTAAGCAAATTCACACCATCTTTCTCGACCAGATTGTTCCATAACAAAACATTTAATATCATTGTGTAGACTGACTTGTTTGATTGCAGAGCTTTTGCAAGTCATGTCAAGGGCGCAAGGTAAAAAGAGGGTCAAAATCTATCAAATTGGATATAGTACCAGGTATGCTGTTTTCCTTCTGAATCTTGAATGTGGTGCCTCTATATGCTAGGATCCTTTATGGTTTCTTTTCAATCATCGTTCCTAGAATCACATTGAATTGGGTTTTTGGATACTTACATATTCCATTGAATAACTTCGTATCCCCCATTGCTTCTGATGCGAGGTGAGCATAGTTTGACTTGAAATGCAGAAATGCAGTTAAAATGCCAAAACTGATGTAGTAAATCCATTCAATAGTCAATGCGTGTCTTCTGATTTATTCTATTTTTGTGGCTCCCCAATGGAACTATAAATTTTTGTCGTCATTCTGAATCTTGAATATGGTGCTCTATAATCTATATGCTAGCCTCATTAATGTTCCTTTTCAATCATAGTTCATAGAATCGCATTAAATTGGATTTTTCTTGCTTTCCATACTTCATATTCCATTGATTAACTTTTTATCCCCCATTGCTTCTAATGCAAGGTGATCATAGTTTGACTTGAAATGCAGAAATGCTGTTAAAATGCTAGAACTCATGTATTAAATCTTGTTCATTATAGGAGTTGATGATAATGAAACAATCAAGGTGCCTAGGAGTGGTGGAGCAGACCTGATAGAAACCAGCCTGGTGATCTCCTCGTCAACATAAAGGTGACATTCTTTGTGCATAAAACTAAGTTTTCTCGTATATCATCTCTCTCTTAAATGGCACGGCTTGTGCAAGAGGCAACGCCGTGGATGGGATATGGCTATCTCTCTAGTCTCTTTAGCTAGATACTAGAAGGTGTCTGGTGACTTGCTGTTCAAAGTAGAGAATACTTATTATTTCTGAATGTACGGCTTAGTATGTGGCTCTTGTAGTTAGCCCATTCTCATGGGCTGATGTCGGTGCATACTTCCTCTAACTGCCACCAAGGAGATTTCGAGTGATTTGCAACAATGTTTGTGTTTGCTGCTCCAGGTCCGTGAAGACCCAGTCTTCCGCAGAGAAGGTGCTAACATACATGTAGATGCTGTTATGAGTATTACCCAGGTAAATGATACTACTGATTATTTTGTTGGGTTTATGAGAAGGTTTGCCCTTGTTTTCTCACCTTTTCTGGGCTGGTCATTAGATGTATATTAGTAGGTCTTGTTGTGTCTTGGGATTATTAGCGGTTACTTTGAGTAGGTTGATGGAACCTAATTTTGCTATTTTTTGCAGGCAATTTTGGGGGAACAATCCAGGTCCCGACACTCCTGGAGATGTCGTTGTTAAGGTAATGTTCAAAAACCTTTTAATATTAGTGGGAAAAAGGCCTGGAAGTCAGAAGCAGTTGGCCAATGTGGTGTCTTCTGTCTTGGTCTTTTCAGGTTCGTGCAGGCACCCAGCCTGGTCAGAAAGTAGTGCTGAAGAAAAAGGGTAGGACCTGATAGCAGCTATCTTGCCTTGATATGAATGAATTACCGTAGAGTGACTTAGTTCTATGGTTTTACTGTGTGGTTTTTTGTGTGTTGTGCAGGAATTAAAGCCCGTGGCTCATATTCTTACGGCGATCAGTTTGTGCACTTCAACGTCAGCATCCCAACGTGAGTGTTGAATTTTTGTTGATGGTATATTATAGAAGCTCGGCCCTTATTCGGAATGCTTATAATAAAATTTGTGTATCACTCTTGTGTGTAGGAGTATAACACCAAGGCAACGTGAATTGCTGGAGGAGTTCACCAAAGAAGAACAGGGAGAATGCATCAAGCGCGCTGCAGCTGGGCATCTGGCTAACAGGTGGAACCACAGGTCCATTAGTCTCTGCTAGAAAAGCCTGGAATTAGTAAAGGTGTACCGAACACACTGAATGGGACGGCCGAGCAGCTAGCTGATGACTCTTCTCCCCTGCCCTAAGTTTTGTAGCAGTCTGTAATATACTTTTCTTTGCTAGCAGTCATTCTTAAAAGTACGTAAAGCATAATTACAAGAAAAGAAGCACCATCTTTGCGTGAAAAACTCCCATTTTTGTACATACCATCATAATTGCAAACTGTTTTTGCTCGGTGCAATTAAGTCTTGAAGCAAAGAATGATGATTTGGACATTTGACCTCTGGATTCTTGAGTGTTAACAGCAGAATGCTCATGTGAGTTCGAGCGGACTGCAGAGAGGCTGCACGGTATCACTACCATTTGGTACTTGGTAGTGTTCGCGTACCACTATCATTTGGTACCACTAGTCACTAGTAGTACCAGTGAGTCTAACACCAAAACCCAGATGTCGGAGGGTGGTGGCGGGCATGGCGAGAAAGGAGGAGGTGAACGGCTGTAGAGTTGGTATGGGTTAGATTAGGGTTTTATTATTTTATATAGGAGGGAGAATGATTGAGTGTGGTAAGTTTTTTTCCTTAAAAAATTACAATTCGTTTAATATCAACCATCAATTTAAAAACGACATGAGAGAGACAGGAGAGATTACATCTAATGGCTACAAAGTGGATTGTGACCGTATGTCATCCCGGTACAATCACATATTTCGGCCGATTTTTTGAAAGACCATTTTCCTTAGATTTTGACGCCTGCTGATCAAGGATTCAGTTTGAGACTATTCTCCACCTGTTATGAAGTCTATTAATCGTCGATTTTGGCAAATTTTTTTGGAGGACATTTTCATAATTTTATGTGCAATTTTCGAAAGACCATTTTTCTTAGATTTTGAAGGCAACAGAAGGATTCGGCCGGAGGCTATTTTGCCCCAAAGATTAAGTCTAATAGGCATCGATTTGAGCGCATTTTTTTCGAGTCTATTTTTGTCAGATTTCAAAGGGGTACATCACGAATTTCAGGCATTTTTTTGAAATGTCATTTTCCTTAGATTTTTCAGTGTACTGATCAAGAATTTGGCGTGAGGCTATTCTTCACTGATAATGAAGTCTATTAATCGTCGATTTTGGCAGTTTTTTCAGAGGGCAATTCGTTATTTTATGGACATTTTTACGAAATGCCATTTTCCTTGTATTTTGAAGGCTATAGATCACGGATTCAGTTTGAGACTATTATTCTCCAATGATTAAGTTTATTAAGCACCAATTTGAGCGGATTTTTTTTCAGGTTTATTTTTGGAAGATTCCAAAGTGGTACCACCACATATTTTAGGCATTTTTTCCTTGAATTTTAAAGGGTACTGATCAAAGATTCGACCTTAGGCTATTATCCACCAATAATGAGGCCAACCTATTAAATGTTAATTTTGGAAGATTTTTTCGGAGCGCATTTTGATACTTTTATAGGCGATTTTTTTCGAAAGATAATTTTCCTTGGATTTTGAAAGCTACAGATCACTGATTCGGCTCGAGGCTATTCTCACTTGATGATTAAAACTACTGATCCTATTCTCCACCAATGATTAAGTCCATTAAACACCAATTTGAGTGAATTTATTTTGAATGACTTTTTCGTAATGTTTTCGGTGATTTTGTTTGAAAGGCCATTTTCCTTGAATTTCGCAGTCTACAAATCATGGATTCCGCCTGAGGCTATTCATCAACGATGATTAAGTTCATTAAGCATCGATTTGGGCGGATTTCTTCCGGATTCATTTTGGCATATTCCAATGGGTACTATCACAAATTTCCGGCGATTTTTCCAAAATCCAATTTCTTGCGATATGTTTGGCTACAGATCACGGATTTAGCCCAAGGTTATTACTTATTCTCCATTGTAATGGAGCCTATTGATCCTATTCTCCATCGATGATTAAGTCCATTAAGCACCGATTTGGGCAAATTTATATTTGGATGGCATTTTCATAAATTTTTGGGCGATTTTTTTTCGAAAGGCCTTTTTCCTTAGATTTTGAAGGCTACAAATCATGAATTCGCCCCGAGATTATTCTCCACCTTTAATGGAGTCTATTGATCACTTTCTCCACCGATGTTTAAGTCCATTATGCACCGATTTGGGCGAATTTATTTTTGGATGACATTTTCGTATTTTCTCGGTCAATTTGGTTTGAAAGCGCATTTTCCGTGGATTTTGAAGGCTACAAATCATAGATTTAGCCCGAGGCTATTGTTCAACGATGATTAAGTTCACTAAGCACTGATTTGGGCGGATTTCTTCCGTCCATTATTGACAGTTTCCAAAGGGTACCATGACAAATTTCGAGGGCGATTTTTCCAAAATCCAATTTTCTTTCTATTTGGAGGCTACAAATCAATGATTAAGTCCGAGGTTATTCTCCACTGTAATGAAGTCTATTGATTCTATGCTCCACTGATGATAAAGTCCTTTAAGCACTAATTTGTGCAATTTAATTTTCGGATGACATTTTCGTATTTTTTGGGTTATTTTGTTTGAAAGGCATTTTTCCTTGTATTCTGAAGGCTACAGATCATGGATTCGGCCTGAGGATATTCTTCAACAATGACTAACTCCATTAAGCACCGATTGGTCTGATTTCATTCGGGTCCACTTTTGGCAAATTCCAAAGGGGTACCATCACTAATTTTGGGGCGATTTTTTCAAATTCCCATATTCATTCGATTTTGGAGGCTACTAATCACGGAATCAGACCGATGCTATTCTCCACCAATTATGAAGTTTATTGATCCTATTCTCCAACGATTATTAAGTCCATTAAGCACCGATTTTGGCGAATTTATTTTGGGATAGCATTTTTATAAGTTTTTTGGCGATTTGTTTTGACATGCCTTTTTCCTTGGATTTGGAAGACTACAAATCTCGGATTCAGCGTGAGGCTATTCCTCAACGATGATTTAGTCCATCAAGCAATGATTTAGGCGGATATCTTCCAGGTCCTTTTTTGACATATTCCAAAGGGTACCATCATAAATTTCAGGTGATTTTTGCAAAATCCCATTTTCTTGTTATTTTGGAGGCTACAGATCAAGGATTCAGGCTGAGGCTATACTTCAACGACGATTAAGTCCATTAAGCACCAATTTGGGCGAATTTCTTCTGGTTCCATTTTTGCAGCTCTAATGGGTACCATCTTAGATTTTGGGCAATTTTTGCGAAATCCTATTTCTTTCGATTTTGGAGGCTACTTATCGTGAATCCTGTCCGAGGCTATTCTCCCCAATAATGAAGTCTATTGATCTTATTCTACACTGATAATGAAGTCTGTTGATCCTATTCTCCAACGATGATGAAGTTCTTTAAGCACCGATTTGGACAAATGTAATTTTGGATGGCATTTTAGTAATATCTTGGGGCGATTTTGTTTGAAAGGCCATTTTCGTTGGATTTTGAAAGTTACAGATCACGAATTCGGCCTAAGCCTATTTTTCAACGATGATTAAGTCCATCAACCACCGATTTGGGCGGATTTCTTCGGGGTCCATTTTTTGCAGATTTCAATGGGGTACCATCACAGTTATCAGACTATTTTTCGAAATCCCATTTTCTTTGATTTTGGATGTTACAGATCAGATATTCAGCCCGAGACTATTCTCTACCGGTGATGTAGTCTATTAATCCTATATTCCACCGTTGATTAAGTCCATTATGCAACGATTTGTGCCAATTTATTTTAGGATAACGTTTTCGTAATTTTTTGGGTGATTTTGTTTGAAAGGCCATTTTCCTTGGATTTTGGAGGCTACATGATATGATCCCAATTGGATCAATCGTGAAGTTGGAATTGCTTGAGGAAGAAGGAATTGAAGTTGGGAAGAAGAATGGAGGAAAATGGTTAAGTATGGAATCCAGTTTAAGGAGGCTACTTTGGAGGCTCATATCTCTCAAACCAGTTGTTGGAAATGAAGGATCAAAGCATCAATGTGAACTTTAAGACTTTATGAGCTCATTGATATGTCATGGAGCTCGAGGAGGTTCCAGGAAGTATATTTTTCAAGTCGCACAAAATGCTAAGAAGAAACCTGGAATCTGTCCAGATTTGACTAAGGCAGAAACTGTGATCAAGGTGCTACCTTTGAAGACCCATAACTTGAGTTTGGGAAATGAGCTCGAGCTGATTCAAGTTGGAGGATACAGAGGAAGTTTCCTTCTACAACGACAAGGGATTGGGTGAGATCGAATCATCTAGGAAGACTATTGTCGAGGGCTTCAAAGAAGCTATCTCGCACTGCCAGTAATCCGTGTCCAACAAGGATTCCCAATTCAAATTCGGATTATGTTTGTAATTTAGTTTCCTTGCTTAGTTAGGTTAGTTTCAATCCTTATTCTAGTTTTTTTGTAATTATGTAAGCCTATAAAAGGCCTCAAACTCGTTTTGTATCATTCAGAATCGATTTATGAAGAAAACCCAAAAATTCCCAACGTTTGAGTTGTGAGTTGAAATTGGTTTTGGTTGCGATCAAAACTTGCTGAACTTTGGCCTATTGATCGAGCAACCCCACTCGATCATTCGAAGGTAACCCTACAACGACTGTGCATCCTCCCAGGTGTGAGGATTCCCTCTCGTTCCCATCACCATTCGTCACGAAAACAAGCTTCACAAGCTTGTTTATTTCCCCTGTTTGTTCACCAGAATCAAGAGACTCAAATTCTTTGGGTTTGGGTTGCGTAACTCTGATCCAACGCCATCCGTGGTGTTATCAAGTGGCATCATCGCCTGGTTCTACACAGAGGACAGAACGGAGGGAAGAGTGGCAGCAACTGCGCCGTGGACGAGATCGAAAGGTTCTGCGTCTGCTGACCCTGCTCTTCGAAGGAAAAAGCCAGAGCACACGGCGAAAGACGAAAGCCCGGATCATTCGAACCAACAAACCATGGCTGGACATCAGTTCGACATGGAGGAGCTTTTGACCCGGATTGACGCAAGATTCCAGGCTCAATTGGGCCAATTGAAGCTTGAAATCGACCAACGATTTGACGCAATGGCGCCACCGGAAAACAGAGTCCAAAACAGGGAGGTTCGCGATGATGAATTCCCCGAAGTTAACCCAGTAGTATTGGGTCGGATTGAGGAACTTGAACGACGTTTGGTTGTAGCTGAGCCCACCTGGGATTAAGCTTTCTGTTCCAGCGTTTCAAGGTACGTTGAACGCGTCAGCATACATGGACTGGGAACGAAAGATTCTGTTGTTCTTTCAATGTGGGCGCTACACAGACCAACAAAAGGTCGCGTTAGCTACCTACGAGTTCACCGAGTACGCTGCTCAGTGGTGGGAGCAACTCCAGGTTCGCCGCCGACAAAACGGACAGGTTCCTGTGACAACTTGGGAGGAACTGCGAGCCTTGATGCGAGGACGGTTCGTTCCTGCGTACTATCAACGCGAACTCCATGAAACACTACAGGGAATTCGACAGGGAACAAGGAGCGTTGAGGAGTATTATCGGGAGCTCGAGTTACTTCTTATGCGAGCTGACGTCCGGGAAGACAGAGAGGCCACGATCGCCCGATTTCTCCATGGGCTGAGTCGAGAAATTCGACATGAAGTGGAATTGCGGCCGTTTGTGGAATTGGAAGATGTACTTCATTCGCCATCAAAGTGGAAAAGCAGCTGAAACTGGGCACTGGCCGTCGCATTTCTCCGGCAGTGCCTCGACCGCAATTGACGTCTGAAAATCCACAAACTGAAGCCCCTGCTTCGAATCGGCCAGCAACGTCAAAATCAGCCGTCCAAATTGGACAACAGGAGCGACCAGGAGGAGGACTAAGCAAATTGGAGTGTTATAAGTGCCATGGAAGAGGGCACAAGTCCTTCCAATGCCCAAATCCGAAAGCACTCGTCCTCCGCGATGGTGAATACTACTCCGAGGATGACGAAGTGGGAAAGGCAGCAGCTGATAAGGACTCAGACGAGGAGGTGGATGAGAATATCGAAATGGAACCTCCAGGAGGGTCGTTTCTCGTCAACAGGAGAGCCCTCACTGTTGAGGCTGTCAGCGACACCCAACAACGCGACAACCTTTTCCACACTCGCTGCACCATCCAAGGAAGAACGGCGTCAATGGTAATTGACGGAGGAAGCTGTACAAATGCCATCAGCCTGGACACAGTAAGAAAACTTGGATTGCATACGAGCAAGCATCCTGAACCCTACAGCCTTCATTGGCTCAACGATCATGGTGCTGTCAAAGTGACGAAACAGGCTTGGGTCGAATTCGAAATTGATCAATACCGTGACCAAATTCTCTGCGATGTCGCACCAATGCACGTTGCGCACATCCTACTGGGCCGACCATGGCAATTTGATCGAGGAGTAACTCACCATGGACGCACCAATTGCTACACTTTTGAACATGGAGGGAAGAAGCTCAAGCTCACGCCGTTGTCACCGGCGGAAGTTAAAGAAGACCAACGTCAGCTGGCAGCTAATCGAGCTAAGGAAGAAAGCGGGGCGCGAAAGGGAAGCAGTCTCCTTGATTGACGTCATGCCTTAACCGCCTTGCTGCGCCCCAGGGGAATCCAACGCCGATCAGCTTCCCCTCTCTGTTTCTCGCCGACGGCAGTACAGGGGAGGAGAGAGGGTCAATTGGGTGGAAGCCTGGGGAGGTCGTCGATCCAATCCGATGGTGCTGACACGTTCTATAACGTTCCAGGAAGCTCTCCCACAACTCAGGAAGAGAAGAATCAACCCAAATTGGTGGATCAAATTCGAGCTTCAACCCCTCTAAAAACGACCGAAGATGAACAAAATTCGAGCTTATTGGTTAGAGAGTTCGGGCATGATTCGAACCAAGTGGGTGAAGTAAAATCGTTTGGAGGCACCCTGGGAAGCTCTCGGAACACACAATTCAGTCCAGGGATGCTTGAATCCAAAAGCCCCAATTGTCGATTGAGGGCTCTAGGTTGCGAAAATTTGAAAACGGCTGGCGGCGGGAAAAAGGAAACTGAAGGTTCGGCGACAATAGTGATGATTCGAGACTGGTGGCAGGTCCCAATCTTCAATTGGATTCATGGCGAAGACATTGGAGTCGATGAATTGGATTGGGGAAGCTTCAATCGAAAACCCCCAATTCGTTCGAGGAAGAACATGTACGAAAGTGACGTCAAGCTACCTGGGAATTGTTCTGATCAATTGCCCGTAAAATTGAACGGCGAGGGAAGTTTTTCTCGAGTTCAGGAAGGGTTCCCAACAGCTATGCAAGCTTCAGAGTTCCTGGAGAAGCTTGAAGGTGAGATTGAAGGCATAATTTTTATGCCGAGGACTGTGTTGGAGCAGCCCACTTTCGATCCTATTTGGGATCAATTCTGTGCAAAATTTGAAAGGAAGAAAGGTCAAGCTTTGAGGGCAAAGCTTTTTCAACAGGGGGGGCCTGATATGATCCCAATTGGATCAATCGTGAAGTTGGAATTGCTAGAGGAAGAAGGAATTGAAGTTGGGAAGAAGAATGGAGGAAAATGGTTAAGTATGGAATCCAGTTTAAGGAGGCTACTTTGGAGGCTCATATCTCTCAAACCAGTTGTTGGAAATGAAGGATCAAAGCATCAATGTGAACTTCAAGACTTTTATGAGCTCATTGATATGTCATGGAGCTCGAGGAGGTTCCAGGAAGTATATTTTTCAAGTCGCACAAAATGCTAAGAAGAAACCTGGAATCTGTCCAGATTTGACTAAGGCAGAAAATGTGATCAAGGTGCTACCTTTGAAGACCCATAACTTGAGTTTGGGAAATGAGCTCGAGCTGATTCAAGTTGGAGGATACAGAGGAAGTTTCCTTCTACAACGACAAGGGATTGGGTGAGATCGAATCATCTAGGAAGACTATTGTCGAGGGCTTCAAAGAAGCTATCTCGCACTGCCAGTAATCCGTGTCCAACAAGGATTCCCAATTCAATTCGGATTATGTTTGTAATTTAGTTTCCTTGCTTAGTTAGGTTAGTTTCAATCCTTATTCTAGTTTGTTTGTAATTATGTAAGCCTATAAAAGGCCTCAAACTCGTTTTGTATCATTTAGAATCGATTTATGAAGAAAACCCAAAAATTCCCAACGTTTGAGTTGTGAGTTGAAATTGGTTTTGGTTGCGATCAAAACTTGCTGAACTTTGGCCTATTGATCGAGCAACCCCACTCGATCATTCGAAGGTAACCCTACAACGACTGTGCAGCTCCTCAGGTGTGGAGGATTCCCTCTCGTTCCCATCACCATTCGTCACGAAAACAAGCTTCACAAGCTTGTTTATTTCCCCTGTTTGTTCACCAGAATCAAGAGACTCAAATTCTTTGGGTTTGGGTTGCGTAACTCTGATCCAACGCCATCCGTGGTGTTATCACTACAGATCACGGATTCGGCCTGAGGCTATTGTTCAGCAATGATTAAATCCAGTAAGCACCGATTTGGGCAGATGTCTACCGGGTCTACCTTTGGTAGATTCCGGGCAATTTTTCAGAAATCCTATTTTCTTTCGATTTTGAAGGCTATAGATCACGGATTCACCCGAGGTTATTCTCCACCGATAATGAAGTCTATTGATCCTATTCTCCACCAATGATTAAGTCTATTAAGCACCAATTTTGACGAATTTATTTTGGATGACATTTTCATAATTATTTGAGCAATTTTTTTCAAAATGCCATTTCCTTAAAATTTGAAGCCTACATATCACGGATTCGCCATAGGCTAATATTCAACAATGATTAATTGCATAAGCATCGATTGGGGTGGATTTCTTCTGAGTCCATTTTTTGCAAATTCCAAGGGGTACCATAATAGATTTTGCATGATTTTTCCGAAATCCTATTTTCTTTCAATTTTGCAGGGTACATGTCACGGATTCTCCCGAGGTTGTTTTCCACTGATAATGGAGTCTATTGATCCTATTCTCCACGATGATTAACTCCATTAAACCCGATTTGGGCGAATTTAATTTTGGATGACATTTTCATAATTTTTTGGGAGAATTTGGTTAAAAGGCCTTTTTCCTTGCATTTTGAAAGTTAGAGATCACGAATTCGACCTGAGTCTATTTTTCAACTATGTTTAAGTCCATTAAGCACCGATTCGGGCGGATTCTTCTGGTTCCCTTTTGGCAAATTCCAAAGGGGTACCATCATAGATTTCGCACGATTTTTCCAAAATCCTATTTTATTTCAATTTTGGAGGCTACATATCACGAATCCAGTCCGAGGCTATTCTTCACCGATAATGAAGTCTATTGATCCTATTCTCCACTGATAATGAAGTCTGTTGATCTTTTCTCACTGATGATTATGTCCTTTAAACACCAATTTGGGCAAATTTAGTTTTGGATAATTTTTTCGTAATTTTTTGTGCTATTTTGTTGAAAGGCCATTTTCGTTAGATTTTGAAGGCTTATAGATCACGAATTCGGTGGAGGCTATTCTTCAACGATGGTTAAGTCCATCAAGCACTGGATTCGGCAGATTTCTTCGGGTCAATTTTTTGCTGATTCCAAAGGGGGTACCATCACATTTGGAGCGGTTTTTTCTGAAATCCCATTTTCTTTCAATTTGTGGAGGCTACAGATCACAAATCGAGTCCGAGGCTATTCTTTACCGTAATGTAGTCTATTGATGCTATTCTCCACCGAAGATTAAGTCCATTAAGCACCGATTTTGCGAATTTATTTGGTATGACATTTTCGTATTTTTAGTGATTTGTTTTGAATGGCTATTTTCCTTAGATTTGATGGCTACAAATCACTAATTTCGCCTGAAGCTTTTCTTCAACGATGATTCAGTCCATTAAACATCAATTTGGGCAGATTTATACTGGGTCTATATTTGGAAGATTCCAAAGGTGTACAATCATAGTTTCGAGCAATTTTTCCGAAATCCAATTTTCTTTTGATTTGGTAGGCTACAGATCATGGATTCACCCGAGGTTATTCTCCACCGATAATGGTATCTATTGATCCTATTCTCCACCGATAATTGTTGGGGAGAATTTAATGGAAATGTCTTTTCCTTGGAGTTTGAATGCTATAGATCACGGATTCAGCCTGAAGTTATTCTTAAAAGATTACTAAATCAATTAAGCACCGATTTGAGCAGATTTCTTCCGAGCCCATTTTTGGCAGATTCCAACGGGGTAACATCATTGATATTGAGCGATTTTTCCAAAATTCCTTTTTTTCTTAAATTTTGGAGGCTACAAATCACTGATTCAATCCGATGTTATTCCACCAATAATGAAGTCTATGGATCCTATTCTCCATCAATAATGAAGTTTATTGATCCTATTCTCCACCGATGATTAAGTCATTTAAGCACCAATTTGGGCGAATTTAATTTTGGATGGAATTACTCGTAATTTTTGCACATTTTTTTTGAATAAACCATTTTCCATAGATTTTGAAGGCTATAAATCATGGATTCTGCCTAAGGCTATTCTTCAACGATTATTAAGTCCATTAAGCACCGATTTGAGCATATTTATGCAAGGTCTATATTTAGCAGATTCCACAGATGTACCATGACAGATTTCAGGCAATTTTTCGAAATCCTATTTCCTTTCGATTGTGGAGGCTACAGATCATGGATTCACCTGAGGTTATTCTCCACCGATAATTGATTCTATTGATCCTACTCTCCCCCGATGATTAAGTCCATTAAGCACCAATTTTGGGCAAATTTATTTTTGGATGACATTTTTGTAATTGTATGGGAGAATTTTTTTCGAAAGGCCTTTTTCCTTGAAGTTTGCAGGCTACAGATCACAGATTCAACCTGAGGCTATTCTTCAACGATGATTCAGTCAATTAAGCACATATTTGGAGGATTTATTCTGGGTTCATTTTTGGCAGATTTCAAACGGGTACCATTATAGATTTTGTCGATTTTTCCGAAGTCCCATTTTTTGCGATTCTGGAGGCTTCAGATCAAGGATTCAGCCCGAGGCTAATCTCCATCGATAAAGGAGTTTATTGATCCTATTCTCCACCGACGATTAAGTCCATTAAGCACGATTTGGGAGAATTTATTTATGATGCTATTTTCCGTAATTGTTTGGGAGAATTTATTTGAAAGGCCTTTTTCCTTGGAGTTTGAAGGCTACAAATCACGGATTCGGGCTGAGGCTATTCTTCAACGATGATTAAGTCCATTAAGCACTAATTTGGGTGTATTTCTTCCGGGCCCATTTTTGGCAGTTTCCAACGAGGTACCATCACATATTTCGGCCGATATTTCTGAAATCCAATTTTCTTCTTATTTTGGAGGCTACTGATCAAGAATTCGCCCGAGGTTATTCTCCACTGATAATGGAGTCTATTGATCCTATTCTCCACCGATGATTAAGTTCATTAAGCACCATGATTAAGTCCATTAAACACTGATTTGGGCGAATTTATTTTGGATGGCATTCAACGATGATTAAGTCCATTAAGCAATAATTTGGGTGTATTTCTTCCGGGCCCATTTTTGGCAGTTTCCAACAAGGTACCATCACTATTTCGGCCGATATTTCTGAAATCCAATTTTCTCTTATTTTGGAGGCTACTGATCAAGAATTCGCTCGAGGTTATTCTCCACCGATAATGGAGTCTATTGATCCTATTCTCCACCGCTTATTAAGTTCATTAAGCACCCATGATTAAGTCCATTAAACACTAATTTGGGCGAATTTATTTTTGGATGGCATTTTCGTAATTGTTGGTGAGAATTTTTCCAAAAGGCCTTTTTTCTTGCAGTTTGAAGGCGAGAGGTCACGGATTCGGCCTGAGTCTATTCTTCAACGATGATTAAGTCCAGTAAGCACCTATTTGGACGAATTTTTTCCATTTCCATTTCCATTTTTGGGAGATTCCAAAGGGGGTACCATCATAAATTTCAGGCGATTTTTCTGAAGTCCCCTTTTCTTTCAATTTTGGATGCAATATATCAAGGATTTAGCTCGAGGCTATTATCCATAGATTATGAATTCTATCGATCCTATTCTCCACAATGATTAAATCCATTAAGCACTTATTTGGGCGAATTAATTTTCATATAGTTCTTTGGTAATTTTCCTTGGATTTTGAAAGCTAAATATCACGGATTCGGCCTGAGACTATTCTTCAACGATGATTAACTACATTAAGCAATGATTTGGGAGAATTTCTTCCTGGTCCATTTGAGGTAGATTCCGAAGAGGTACCATCACAAATTTTAGGCGATTTTTCCAAAATCTCATTTTCTTGCGATTCTGGAGGTTACAGACCAAGGATTTAGCACGGGGTTACACTACACCGATAATGGAGTCTACTGGTTTTATTCTCCACCGATGTTTAAGTTCATTAAGCACCAATTTGGACGAATTTCTTCAGGATCCATTTTTGGCAGATTCCGATGGACTACCATCACAAATTTCGGGCGATTGTTCCGAAATCACATTTTCTTTCGATTTTGGAGGATAAATATAAGGGATTTAGTCCGAGGCTATTTTTCCCGATAATAAAGTCTATTGATCTTATTCTCCACCGAAAGCACCAATTTGGGCGATTTACTTTCGAATGACATTTTTGTAATTCTTTGGGTGATTTTCCTTGGATTTTGAAGGCTACAGATCACGGATTCAGCCCAAGGCTATTCTCCACCGATAGTGAAATCTATTGATCCTATTCTTCATTG